CTAAGATGGATGCCAGCACATGGAGCAGCACAAGCCCTCAGGAAAGGTAGGACCTTGACACTGCACCCCTGTGATCTCCAGAAGTACAGCCAAGATAGCTTTGACTATACTTCACCTTTTAAAGGATAAGTTCACTTTTCAAAAAAGATAATTAATAATTATTAGTAATTTTTGTTTTGTAGGAGCCTGGAAAGTGTTGCACCTGTGATCAGCAAATCGCGAGTGCAATGCATGGATCCAGCAGGCTGTCAATGTAAGCTGTTTGCTAGTAACACATACGGCAAGCAGTTACAAAATTACATGTCATTGTGTAACTGCTTGCCTTATGAGACTATAAGACTCAATGAACTACCTAGAACACTCACTAGCACCCTGGTAGTTCATCGAGAACTACAAACCATCAGCTGCAAATGCTATTGATACTTACAGTTCATTCATTCATTTACAGGAAAATTTGAGATGCTTTTTTTTTTTAAAGCTTTCTTTACTCTTGCAAGCCAAGCCCTGAAACTATCTCTCGCTGTAATTTCAGTATGTCGAAATGCAGCTAACTGGACTAGGACAATGAACAACCAACATAACTCTCTGTTTCAGGATCATGCTGTCACGGAGCACTTAAAGCAATTCTCTTCTCCTCTTTCCATTGTGGATGCCCTACAACATGCCATGTGACAAATCTTCAGAAAGGCTTTAATCTACATTCACATATGCAGAATCTCATATATAAATCTTTGACAACTGAGGCTGCCTGCAAAAGGCACCTCACATATATGCCCTTCCAAGGATGATGTCTATTTGGTGGGGCACTTGAACAATTCACCAAAGAGATCACTGATGGGAGGTCACTGGTCACTCAGGAACCCCTAGCTCCTCTAAAAGCAGAGCACATGTTCGCTTTCATCCTTTCCTTTCATACATGGCTCACTAAGGCCACCAAGCCTCTTCACAATGAAGGGTCACCTCACTACTAAGGGTGACGGGACCCTGGTTCACTGGCATCTCAGACCCATGGGTTCAGTCTGTGGCTTCAAAAGAGTACAAAACAGGGGATGTGGTGACCACAACCCAAGATGGCCACTTTAAGTTAGAGCTCTGCTCCACCGCAGGGATCTCAGCCCAAGAACGGCCGACTAGCCTCCCATATCCTGCCACACACCCTAGCAAATCCCTTTGGAATCTCTCCTCACCTTGTCGGTATGTCCCACAAGTGGAAAGACTGCTTACAGCCGCAGAAAGTCTCCACTTTCTTTCTGTCAGTGGGCCGTGATCCACGGCACAATGGCGCCGATGAAAGACCACAATAAATTGCGATGACCGTGAACAGCACCTAGACACAGTGAGAACTCCAGCAACTCCCTATATGAGAGAGCACACTCCTTCAACACAGTCTCCCCATACTTCAGGCTCCTCTACACTCTCCACCAGCCCGGTCAAATCTAAACCAAGAATAACAGCACGGGATTCAGACCTCCCCAGTGAATCAAGAAGGGAGGTAAGTGATCACAGTGACTCTATGGATGAAACAACCTCTCATGCAGACTCTATAGCTACCTTCCCTACCTCTAATACTCTAATATCTCAGACTCTACAATGAAAGAAATGTTAGTGTCTTTGAGATCTTCCTTACAAACTGACATAAATTCCGTGCTATGGAAAGTCAGGCTGGATGTGGATGATCTGGGGGAACGAATGAACTATGTAGAAACAAAAATGGAAATCGCCTCCTCGCATAATGCGCTAGTTGACTCTAACACTGAAAAAGAGGAAGATATTCTGTGGCTTAAAAACAAACTAGCGGATTTGGAAGACAGATCTCAGAGAAACAATCTTAAGATACTAGGTATCCCTGAATCTGTCCTCCTGAACCAACTGGCCGCATAAGCTCACCAGATGCTCCGAACTGTTCTCCCTAACACTTCCGCTACTGAGTTAGTTGTGGACAGAATCCACCGTATTCCACGTCCACCTTATTCTCCCTGATTTCGTCCCGAGAGACGTTATCCTCCACCTACATTTCTTTCACATAAAAGAATAACTTATTTCACTATTCAGAAGGTCCGAATCAGTGCCCCCGCTATATGCAACCCTCAAAGTCTTTCCTGACTTTTCTCATCACACCATGCAGATGAGAAAAAAATGTTTACAATAACCAAGGCTCTACACAACCACACCATGCTGTTTAAGTGGCGATATTGTAGCCATCTACTTTTGTCGGTACATGGAATGACAACCACTCTCTCTACACTTGAAGAAGGCCTACAATTCCTCAGACAACAAGGAATTCTCCCGGATGTTCCCAATCCCAACCAGGCTACCACATCTTCGGCCCATATAGCAGGGACTTGGCAGACAGTCTCTCATAAAAAGAAAACAAATGGCAGTCGGCCACCTACAAGAACAACAACCTCATCGCTTACTTGAGATCCTATCGGTGATTTGAGTATGTCCATCATAGCTCAAAACCCCTCACTCTCCACAGGCACCCCCTTGGGTGCACCTGGACCAATATTGGTCCTCACTTTTTTATATTTGCCTCTCCATTACTCTCCCCAGTTGGGAGAATGTTTCTTTGTTCCTGGTCATATACCCGACCTCCACAGTACAGAACCAACAATACCACAGCTGTCTTCACTGCAAGTTTTGGAAGTCATCTCCGGCTCAACCATTACCTTCTCCACTACACATCTCTACACCTACTCAATCAGAATCCATAAGTATCCATATGGCATTTAAAATTGTTTCCATAAACGCCCATGGTTTAAATCATCCAGCCAAACGTGCCACCCTATGGCGCGAAGCCAGCTCACTCCAATGTGACATCCTCTGCGTACAGGAGACGCATTTTCTGGAATCATCTCCTCCCCGGTGTTCTCATAAGCAGTTTACTACAACCTTCAAAGCCAGTGCTCCGAATAAACAAAGAGGTGTGTTTATTGCCATTAAACATTCGCTCCCTTTCACCCTCCAAAACTCCCACATAGATCAAGATGGAAGATACATTATTCTAGTTTGCCTGATCAACTCCAAGCCTTATACCCTGATCAACAATTACGCCCCAAACTCTGACCCAATTTATTTCCTCAAAAGTCTTTATAAGAAAATCTCCTCAGTTCAAGAAGGCTCGCTTGTCCTCTGCGGTGACTTCAACTCTACCATCGACCCACAGTTGGACCCCTCTTCACGCTCCAGCTCGTGAACTGGCTCCTTACAGCATTTTTGCACCTATTAGACCTATTTGATGACTGGCGGTGGCAGCACGCGAGTGAGAAAGATTTAACTTTTTTTTCCGCACGTCATTTATCTTATTCCAGAATTTATATGTTTATAGTTGATAAGCACACTTTGCAGAAGGTCTCATCCTCCTCGATACAAGATATAACATGGTCTGGCCATGTTCCCATTACCCTAGTAATCGAGGAGAAAGAGCGCATTTCTCAGACGTATTTATGGAGATGTGATTCTCGATTGTTGCACTCACCACAAACACATGCAATCTTAACTAACCACTTGAAATTGTTTTTTACTAACAACACAGGATCTGTAGATAACCCATTCATACTATGGAACACCCAAAAGGCATATATGAGAGGGCCTACGACCTACGTAGACTCCTACTGGACTCTACGATGGCTAGGGTAAGGTATCCAGAATATCTCCAATCTATATGCATCAGACACAATGAAAAACTGGGATACACTAGAAGCTGAATTTGGACTTTTGCCAACTGATAGATTTCAATATCAACAAATATTCCACACCTTATACACACTACCCTCTAATATTAAATGGGTACCAGACACGATTTGGTCTGCTTTGTCAACTACTAGGAGTCCAAAAAAGCCATGTCCATCTTCTATACCTCCTTACAGAACAAACTTGAATTTATTAAAAATGTGGCCATGCTCTAATGGGAATCTGACCTGACAATATATTTCTCTGAAATACAATGGAAATCTGCTCTTACGACTTTATACAAATCATCTAGTTGTATCGAACTATCCCTAAAAATTACCACACGTTGGTACTATACCCCATATAAACTTTCCAAATTTAGCCCCACCCATTCTCCTTTATATTGGAGAAACTGTGGCGCCATAGGTACACTACCACACAATTTATGGTTATGCATGTGTCTGACAAGTTTTTGGAATAAAATCTTTCTTATTATCTCAGAGGATACTGGTATATTGGTGGTGAAACCTAATCCAGCTCTTGCTCTCTTAAATTTGGGAAATTCTGAAATACCCCCTCGCTTTCATATGTTCATTTCCCATATTTTACTGGCAGCCTGAACCACTATAACTAGGAACTAGAAGAACTCATTTACACCCAACCCTTCTGAGTCTTTACAGATTTTAAAAACAAATTATGTCCATGAACGTCTCCTAGCTATTAGGGAAAATAAAATTGCCAGTTTCAGTTACCAATGGAAACCCTGAGTAGACTGGAATAGTAGAGATGGAGCTAAGGATATGTAGAAATATGTTGTGAATGAGATGCTTAAAAGATTCCAAGTAGTTTGAAATAAATGAAAAGATCTGAATATGAAGATATATATTCTGTACATGTATTTGTTGATGGACCATGTAGTTCGTTGGTCTAATGATAGACCTTTTCCTGTAATGTATAAAAATCCAAATAAAAACTTATTGATAAAAAAAAGTACAAAATAGTTAAACACTCTACCTCCTTTTCATCTATTAAGTCAACCAAAAACTGCCCAAGGACAGTTAGATTTGCAAAATGCCTTGAATCATCTATTGTCCCAGCAATTCATTGTTTCATTACCACCACAAGACAGGTTCAAAGGATTTTTATTAAAACCTGTTTACAGTACCAAAGCCCAAAGGTGATATCTGTGCTAATATGGACTCTAATTTCTAAACAGATTCCTTCAGATTCCAAATTCTGTATAAGAAGTTATTTTCAACATCTTCTATCGTATATTAATCTAAACGAGATGTTTGTTGCTACGTCATGCTAAAAAGTCAGTGGCTTACCTTGGTGCTTCTGGTCTGCATTTTTCTTTTGAGTAATCATGAGGTTTTGTTTGCAGGTGACCAATAAAAACATTTTCATATTCTTGCCTTGGACCTTGGTTTGAAGTTGAAGCCATGATATCCATATTTCTCGCCATATAGCGTGGTTGTTCATGAGAGGGGGACTTCTCTGTGTCAGTCTTGCTTCCAAAATCAGCTGAGTTTCTCTTCTTACACAGGTACAGAGTCACCCCACCAACTATAAGGCCTAAAGCTACTATAGGCAACACAATGTACAGAATCAAAAAGACTTGTGAACCACAGTTTTCTGTAAAGTAATCACCAAGTTTTTCAAAACTTGATTCAAGGGATGATGATGTACATGTCACAGAAAGTTTTGAGTTGCTTGTCACGTTGCTATTTAGGTGCTGCATTATACTGCTAGCCACATCACATTTGCAGTCTACACTTAAATTCTGGAGACTAGGGTGAAAAAACAGTTGACGGAATTGTAGTTAATGGATTTCCTTCAAGATGTAGCACTTGCAATTTAGAAGAATTGCTAAGAAAATTTTCTGGCAGCTGTTCCAGAAAATTGTTCCCCAGGTTAATTTCTTTAATGACAGTTGCATCGAATAGGAAATTTTCTGGGAGTTGTTTAAGCTTATTATAAGACAAATCTAGTTTCTGAAGAGAGGTATACATTGACGTTGGTTCAATATTCTCAATGCTATTGTTGTTCAAGATGACAGTTTTACAACTTTGAAATTTTGACCACTGTAGAGGTTCACAGGTCTGACTTGCTGACTTTTCACATTTCGTTCTATCGCATACTTCACTAACATCACCAAGTGTGTTAGAAAAGATCATCACAATTATGAAAATCCACATCTTTCTCCTGTAGAAGACAAAAAAAAAAAAGCAACAAATAAGAGCATAGGCTGACAAAGACAATGTTTAAATAACAAGAAGAAAAAAAAAAACTTTTAGTTACAGAGATTGAGGGTAAATTTAAATTTTGTAGCATAATTTAGCCACACTCACTTTTTGCCGCCAGTGCCGCAGGTCACCATCTCCCTGGTAGGATTGCATTACTTTGCCCAGGGGCCCATGATGCTATTAGGATGGCACTGAGTGAAAATATTTGTTATAATTGCTTTCGTGAAAAATATACTAAAATTCCTAGTCAGTGCAACCTCCAACTACATTTAGAACACAGCGTAAAACACATCGTAAAAAATTAACAATACCATAGTCCAAATATTGCATAGCTGTGGAATTACTAAGCATGAACACTGCCCATCAGAACTTGAACAAAAAAAAGTCATTATACCAATTACACAACTGGTATACTTTCATCCACGTAAACCATTTTGCATTTGGGAAGTATCTAAACCTGTAATGAAAGGGAACAGCAATGGGACTGCAATTTATTCTACATCACTCAAATGATTTAGTAAGACGAAAGTATTGATCGTCCTGCGGTTCTACGAAGTACTATTGCTGTACTGATAATATTTTGGTCATGTGGACTAACGTCTTAAAAATCCACAAGGCCTCTAATAACTTTAATCCCACAATAAACCTAGAATTTAATGACAAAAATAAATAAACATTCTGGGAACATACATCAACTTAGTTTAGTTCTGCTTGCTACAAACCCTCAAACACATTGGCTTACCTCCAGAAGTGACAACTTTTCCACCAAACAAAATCTATCATATATAGTCAGGCAATATGACACAATCATGTCTGTTCTGATACTAAAATCTAAAATAGTCTTTGATTAAACTCAATGGAAATATGACTTTTTCAACCAAACTATATATCTTGTTGAACAAAGGGAAGGATTTTTTTATATATGGCTACAGTACTAGATCCATAGATCAACAAGGCAGCCATCATCCCCAGAGGCAGCCTTTGAAAATGTAGGCAAATCAGGACAGGGCCCTGTGCCCCCTGATTTATCAGCTTCAGATGGCAATCCTATTCTAAGTCCTAAATAAAATCAACTCAGTACTACAACGGTGACAGGCTATGGGGGATAGGGGAATGCAGCCACATTTCCTAATATAATACTGTCCCAAATAATTCAGCCATACATTTCTATACAATGAATCATAATAATAAATAATTAAAATTAACACAACTTAATTATATTTTTATTTGCCACATGTATGGTTTTGCATTAGCCACGTTATGTGAGACTAATTACATCACTTTTATATAATTTTTTTAAACTTTAGTTGTATGCATATAGGCCTCATGTGCACTGGACATTTCTAATGTGGCTAATAGGGGTGTCTGGCTTACTTTTCTGTCTCTAAATGCCCCTATATTTCAGTCTATATGTCCTTGCACACATAGTTTAGAGCAGTTTAGACAGAGAAAACCCTACTGCCGGTGCATCCAGGAGCAGTGGCGTTTTGGCAGAAAAAAATGTTTGTGTGTAAACGTGCGTTAATACTAGGCGCATTTAGCGCTTGAGAGTTAATTAATTTCAGTGGCCAATGAAATGAATCAATGCCTAAGCACTTGATGCGCTTTAAACGAATTACATGCGTTAACAAGCATTAAGTGTTTTCTTCTGACGTGACACTGCTGCCATGAGAAAAGGCGTTTAGGAGAGAAGGCAAAATGCCCAGTGTGTATGAGGCCTTAAAATTGCTGAGACCCACCAAGAACAATAAAAAAAATCATTTCAGTAGGCTTTCTAAAAGAAATCTAAACCCAAGGTTCATGATGTACCAAGCATTTTACTGACGACCAAATAGGACCACACACTTGGTCAGGTGCTGCTGGCAGTGGGGAGGATCCTTTATTAGCAAAGTTTAGTGTAACCTAGTTCAGTTATTAGACTTTGATATCCAAGTAAAATTCTCCATCTCTTCTTTCAAGTGTACCATGCATCCAGCCTGCTACCACTTGCCCTCTACGTTACACCCACGCATCGCTAACTGTTCCCAGCATTCAATGTAGAACTTCATCCTCTGCATAAAAAAAAATTCCTTTGTTGTTATAGACAGGTATAAAACAAATGATCTGGTCAACATTAATATCGTGCACTTCTTGCAATGTGAAAATTGGGTAACCATGTCATTTTCACATTTGATAAATACATTCTCACAAACTTTTTTTTTAAACACAGCTTTATTTTAGTAACATCTTGAGGTCATCCCCTGTACTGTGTCTGCAGTCTGGTCCAGAATATTTTTTTCTTGTTTTTCTCCTCTAAAACCTAGCGCACGTCTTATGGTCAGGTGCGTCTTATGGAGAGAAAAATACGGCAATTTGTTGTTAAAATATAAAAGACTTTGTTATGCTGAGTAAATAGACACCGAACATGTAATGCTTTAAAACTGCATACACATCCGTGGAACAACGCCAAACTACGGGACCTATAAATCTCCATAGGTGATGCTTTAAAAGCCTTTACAGGCTACTAGTTTACATTTGCATAGGAGTTCTGGAGCTAAAATTGTTGCTCTCGCTCTGACGTTCGTGACAATACCTTACAAGTGTGGTGCGATCGCAAATTTACAAATGTGTGAGGGACTTACCTATACGTTCACACATAAACATGTGGGGAGGGGCACTTTACATTTTTTTTATTATTTACTTTATTAAAACTTTTTTTTTTTTACACTGTCCTTTTTTTTTTTTTTTGTTAAAGTATTTTTCATATAAACAAGAGAAAGCATGGAAACAAAATACTGAGCAGATAGATAACAAATCCAACCTATAAAACACTATTACAACAAGTAAAGGAAAATCATATCACTTACTCTGTAGACAAAAATGACTGCATATAAAAGTCAGAGAATCCGAGAACAGAGCTGACCCCCCGCATAGGAGCACATATGAATAAATTACAAAGCCAATCAATACAAGACAATTAAAGCGATGGTAAACTCCCTCCAGTGGTGTCACAGGGACAGGAAGTGAGGGGAAGTCTTCCTTCAGTGGGGGTCACATAAACAGGAAGTCTCCCTCCAGTGAGGTCACAGTGTCAGGAAGTGAGAAGTCTCCCTCCATTGATGTCACAGAAAAAGGAAGTCTCTCTCCAGTGGTGTCACAGAAACAGGTAGTCTCCCTCCAGTGGGGTCAGGGAAATAGGAAGTCTCCCTCCAATGGAGTCACAGAAACAGGAAGTCTCCCTCCCTGGGGCCACAGAAACAGGAAGCCCCCCTCCCTGGGGCCACAGAAACAGGAAGCCTCCCTGTAGTGGAGGGTTACGGAAACAGGAAGTTTCCCTCCAGTGGGGGTCACAGAAACAGGAAGTCTTCCTACAGTGGGGCTATAGAAACAGGAAGTTGCTCTCCAGTGGGATCACAAAAACAGGACGTCTCCCACCAGTGGTGTCACAGGGACAGAAAGTGAAGGGACACCTTCCTCCAGTGGGATCACAGAAACAGGAAATCTCCCTCCAGTGTGGTCACAGAAACAGGAAATCTCCCTTCAGTGGGTTTACGTAAACAGGAAGTCTCCCTCCATTGGGGTCACAGGGTTAGGAAGTGAGGGGAAGTCTTCCTCCAGTGGGATCACAGAAACAGGAAGTCTCCCTCCGGTGGTGTCACAGGGACAGAAAGTGAGGGGATATCTCCCTCCAGTGGGGTCACAGAAATGGGAAGCCTCGCTCCGGTGGGGTCAATAAAGACTGTTCTAAGTAGTAGCTGTGGTAACAAAATATTTTTTAGCATGGATTGACGTGTATGGTGGCACGGTATAAAATTGGCAGGGTAGCTGGAGAGGCAGCTGTTCTATACTATATCACTTATAAATTTTAACCACTTGCCACCCAGCCACCGCATTAAAACGGTTGCAGGGCGGCACGGGCAGGCAAAACCACGTTTTAAAACGTAGTTTTGCAAAACAGGTAGGGGGCACCCGCCCTACCTGTCCCGCGGGTGTCAGCAGCGGGTGTCAGCCGCCGGGTCACGGCCAGTGATTACCGGCTGTTTCCCCGCGATTCACGGTGATCGCTGACACAGAGCAGGGCTGCATTGTTTACACACAGCCCTGTTCTGTGTCAGTTTTCTGACAGCTCGTGACAAGCTTGCAGAGGGAGAGAAGAGTTTCTCTCCCTCGATCAGCCTGTCTCCGTCCAGCACACACCCCCGCCCCCTAGTAAAACACTCTACTCTCACACAGTAAACTCTAAAAATGTTAACCCCTTCCTCCCCAGTGCCATTAGTACAGTGTCAGTGGGTTTTTTTTTTTCACTGATCACTGTATTGGTGTCACTGGGGATGTCAGTGACCCCAAGTCAGTTCCCCCCCCCCAGTGTCAAAATGTCCGCCGCAGTCCTGCCATAAGTCGCTGATCGCCGCCATATGTCGCTGATCACCGCCATATG